TGCCTCTTGATGGAACGTTTTTGTTTCGGGACTGTATTTTTTTTTTTGCTTTAGCTTCAAAATCAATTATCGCTATTTTTAAGGGCATATCATGGTAGAAGAATACAGGTAAACGCATCGACACAGCTGCTGGGACAATGAACTTTCAAACCGATTTTGAAATTGAAAAATGTGAATGAAAAAATATTGAAATTTGTAAAAAAATGTTGAAAAATACTTATCATTACAACCTCCGATTTGCATCGTATAAGAAAACGTATAAAAATCGAATCATTTTTGACAAAGCACTTAAAAAATGTTGACATATCAATGTTCCCAAGCGTTAATGCATCTACCTGTATTATTCTACCATGAAGGCATATTAAAAAAATCCTTTGGAACCTAAAACTACGTTTACACTTATGCTCTGTTGCAGAACCTTCAAGAATCGATATTATAAAGGAGAAATCGGTTGTCGTAGTAAAAATAGTACATAATCGATCTGTTCCAGAACCTGCAAGAATCTACTACTTTTTTTCGATATCATAAAGGGAAAATCGTTTATCGAAGTAAAAAATTGCACATTCTTGCATTTCTGGAACCCAAGACCAACTGCCAGCTTCTGGATAAGAGTATTACTAAATCAATTTGATTTCTTTTGTCAATTCCACTGTGTATACATCAAATCAAATTGACTCTGAAAACCAGCGGATTTAATTTGACGTATACGCAACGGAATTGACAGTTGAAATCCACTGAATTTGTTATGTGTGTGTACGGCGTTTTCCTTGAAGTTTTTCCATAACTTTTTCTAATTCTCCATAGCAATTCCATTTCAAATCTGTAAATTATCCAATATTAGTTCATTCCTGCATAATTTATTTTCTCGAGAACAATATAAACATACAAGTTTATTTTGTAAAAAAAAAATAGACAAATAATAAATTTAAATATATCTGTCGATGTTTTAAGCCTTACGCCACCCGTATTTACATATGACTGTACATAGCATTTTTTTATTGAAATTTTATGCATAGAATTTCAAAAAAAAAAAAAAATAGCAAAGTGTCTCTACGACAGCTTCGAAGATTCAAGATTTCTTGGCATTATTTTTTTTTGTGCAATCCATTGAGGAGGAGAGTCTCGTTCGGACAGGTTTTAATGGCAGGCAGCAATTTTGCAGACATGTTGCTTTTGCGTCGATTTAACTGGTTTCGAATTTTTTTGTTTCTTCGTTTCGTTTTTTGATATTTTAACAGTAAAATATTGCAAAAATTTTGCCAGCAACAGGTGGAAACTGGATTTGCTGGTATCGGCAGCAAAACACACAAGCCATTAAGATAACAATTTTTTTTTTAATCTTGTCTAGATGTGCATACTCCAAGCAGCAACTTGTATCGCGAGAGGCCTTAAGAAATATTTCAATAATTTGTAATGTTTCTTTTTTTTTTACAAAAAAAAAGAAATAATAAAAAATAATTGTTAATATCAGGAAACAACTATGGCCGAAGTTTAGTGGGAAATTTTTTTAATTGAGAAAAATTTTGAAATGTTTTCTTTAAAGTTTTTAGAATTTGACACAGTTTTTTTCGAAATTAAAAAATTTATAAACATGGTGATGATGATGCTAATTATGGATCATGGGTGGGATTGATTAATGACCAACCCAGCCATTAGTGGATAAATAAAAAATGCTATTTTGACAAAAGAAAAAAAAAAAACCTTATAAGACATACGAATACGAATATGTAAACATCTATGTCCAATCCCTAATGGCTGGACCTAAATAAAATGAATAATTTATTGAACCAAAATAAAATTAAGACATATATGGAAAGTGAAAAAAAATGTCAGTTCATTTTACAGAAACAACTATATATTTTGAAGAAGAAGAGAAGAAGACCATGGTAGAAGAATACAGGTAGATGCATCAACGCTTTTGATAATTGATATGTCAAAAATTTTAAAATATTTTTTTTCAAAAATAAGTAAATTTTTATAAGTTTTCTTGTACAACACCAACCGGAGGTTATTATGATATAAATTTTTCAATAATTTTTACAAATTTCAATAATTTTTCATTCACAATTGTCAACTTCAGCAGCTGTGTCGATGCGACTACCTGTATTCTTCTATCATATATATCTATCATATATATATATACCTATATGTGTGTTAATATGCCATTTTTATTTTAGCTTTGGAAATGTCTTGTACTTGTCCTGTGGAACGTATTTTTTAGGACTTCACAACTGAAGGAAAAATTGGAATCATGGTAGAAGAATATAGGTAGACGCATTGACACAGCTGATGGGACAATGAAGTGTCAAACCAATCTTGGAATGGAAAATGTTGAATGAAAAATGATTAAAATTTGTAAAAATTGAATTGAAAAACGCGATAACCTCCGAATGACGTCGTATGAGAAAACATATAAAAATCTATTTATATTTGAAAAAACATTTAAATTTTTTGACATATCAATGCTCCCAAGCGTTGATGCATCTACCTGAATTCTTCTACCATGGGAATATTGATATGACAAAATTTTTACAATATTTTTTTTCAAAAATAAAAATAAATCGGAGGTTGTTATGATATGCATTTTTCAACAATTTTAACGAATTTGAATAATTTTCATTCAACATTTTCAATTTCAAAATCGGTTTGATTCTATATTCTTCCATCATGATTTTGGCATTAAATTTGGCAATCATACATGTGGTATGGAACGTTTTTCAGAAAGTGGTTGATTTCCCTTATTTAAAAGCGTGTTTATACCATGGTAGTTGAATATAGGTAGACGCATTGACACAGCTGATGGGACAATGAAGTGTCAAACCAATCTTGGAATGCAAAATGTTGAATGAAAAATTATTCAAATTTGTAAAAATTGAATAAAAAAACGCGATTTATAATAACATCCGAATGACGTCGTATAAGAAAACATATAAAAATCTACTTATATTTGAAAAAACATTTAAAAATGTTTGACACATCAATGTTCCCAAGCGTTGATGCATCTACCTGCATTCTTCTACCATGGAAATATTGATATGTAAAAATTTTTACATTTTTTTTTTTTTTGAAAAATAAGTAGATTTTTATAAGTTTTCTTATACGACACCAATCGGAGGTTGTTATGGAATACATTTTTCAATAATTTTTAAAAATTTGAATAATTTTTCATTCAAAATTTTCAATATCAAAATCGGTTTGACAGTTCATTGCCCCAGCAGCTGAGTCGATGGGACTTCCTGTATTCATGATTTTAGTCAAAAAAAAACGTTTTATGTATTCTCACCCTTAGTTCCAGCACACGCATATTTCTTTGGGAATACATTTCATTTAAAAAATTCTCATTCCGTTATTATACCCTCCACCATAGTATGGAGAGTATATTAAGTTTGTTATTCCGTTTGTAACACCTCGAAATATACATTTTAGACCCCACAAAGTATATATATATTCTTGATCAGCATAAAATTCTATGTCGATATCCGTCCGTCTGTGGAAATCATTCTAGCTTCCGAACGAATTGAGGTAGATTGATAAAACTTTACTCAAATGTATACTATGTCTGCGGGACTTTTGGTATTGAAAATGAACCATGTGGGTCCATGTCTTCGTATAACCCCCATATAACGATACCTCCCGATATTCGGTATTTTGATGATTTTAGCGACATTATTCACCGGAATTCTTTCAAAATTGGTATTTGATGTTCGTAGTGGATACTACAGCCTTCGGCATAAAATTATCCCTGTATGTTTACGTCTTCCTATAGCCCCCATATAACGGTACCTCCCGATATTCGGTATTTTGATGATTTTAGCGACATTATTCAACGGAATTCTTTCAAATTTGGTTTTTGAAGTGCGAAATGGATACTACAGCCTAAGACAGAAAATTGTCTGTGTAGGTTCACGTCTTCGTATAGCCCCCATATAACTGTACCTCCAGATATTTGGTATTTTGCTGATTTTTGCGATAATATACATCGGAAGGGTTTCAAATTTGGTATTTGATGTTCGTAGTGGATACTGCAGCCTTCGGCATAAAATTATCCCTGTATGTTTACGTCTTCCTATAGCCCCCATATAATGGTACCCCCCAATATTCGGTACTTTGTTGATTTTAGCGACAGTATTCAACGGAATTCTTTCAAATTTGGTATTTGAAGTTCGTAATGGATGCTACAGCCTAAGGCAGAAAATTGTCTGTTCAGGTTTACCTCTTCATATAGCCCCCATAAAACGTTACCTCCCGATATTCGGTATTTTGATGATTTTTGCGATAGTATACATCGGAATTGTTCCAAATTTGGTATTTGAAGTTCGTAATGGATACTGCAACCTTCGGCATAAAATTATCCCTGTATGTTTACGTCTTCCTATAGCCCCCATATAATGGTACCCCCCAATATTCGGTATTTTTATGATTTTAGCGACATTATTCAACGGAAATCTTTCAAATTTGGTATTTGAAGTTCGAAATGGATGCTACAGCCTAAGACAGAAAATTTTCTCTGCAGGTCCACGTCTTCGTATAGCCCCCATATAACGGTACCTCCCTATATTCGGTATTTTGATGATTTTACCTACATTATTCACCGATTTTTTTTAAGTTTCGCATTTGAATCTGACAAAAGTTACCTATACAGGTCCATGTCGTCGTATAGACCCTAATGTAACAGCCGCATTCGGTATTTTTAAGATTTTAATAGAATTTGTAACAGATTTTATTGTTTTTGAGAATTGCGAAATTCCTTCCAAATGGTGGAGGGTATTCAAAGTTCGGCCCGGCCAAATTTCATTACATATCATATTTTTTTGGATCCTTGTTATAATTATATCCTGCCTTAATTAATTCCCTTTGATTCCCACACACACATTTGATGTGGAACGTTTTTCATTTTAGATTGCGCTTTTTAGGGTTAACGTTGATAAATAAATTATCATTGTTTTTTTTTTTTTGGAATGTCTAGGAAAATATTTTAAAAAAACCTCAAAGAAACTTACCTTTTTTACCGAACCTCGTTGAAATATGAAAAATATATTTTGTATTTATAATCCCAAACAAAATAATAAGGCTTAATATCGTCGACACTTAGTTCGTTTTAAAACTGTAATAAAATCAAGATAAGAGGAGATTTACTTTACACACAATAATAAATATTTTGAAAATAATTAATAATTCAGTATTTTTTTTAATTTTCAATTTTTTTTTTTCAAATTCTTGCATTAATATGTTTTTTTCTAATTATAAAAGGTATCAAAAGGTTGGGTGGGGGATTTTCAACAAGCTCTGGTAACACACAGTTTAAACATAGTAATTAAAATCGTTTCAACTTCTTTTTTGTTTGTTTTGTATTATTTTTAGGTTTTGAAACTTGAAATCACCAACAAAACAAAAAATAAACATTAATCAATTGGTATTTGTGTTTTGTTGTTGTTGCTTTTTTGTATTTTCTTTTATGGGAGCATTTGAAAATCTTTCACTTTTTTAAGAGGCACCACAAAGACGGCTTGTCTGTGTTTTAGGGACAAGTTATTCAAATTAAAAAAAAAAACATCCACGAAAAATAGAGAAGTCCATTGGTATTTTATTGATTTTTTTTTTCAAGATCCACTACAACAACAACACGACAATCAGAAAAAAAGTCGAAAAACCGGACTCACAGTCAAGTCAGTTAAACACAGCAACTAAAACGTTTTATTCTCCCCAAAAACTAAACCAAATTAAACCGAAAATCTTTATTTATTTGTTTTTTTTTTTATTTCTTCTTTTTCCGTCGCGATATTCAATCCCGCTTTTTGCTGAACGTTCTTCAATGCTCTATTGACAAGTTCTGTGCAATGCAGTTCCACAATTCGAATGCAGCAGCTAGTTTACAAAAGACAATCCAAACGACGACCATCCGAAGAAACCACCTCCAAAAACGACAAAGCCAACAACAATTTTGCAACAACAACAAAAAAATAGACGTAACTAACGTTTACAAAAGCGCATGCGTTTCTGGCTCCCAAAAACAAAAATGTGTGATGTTCGTTGCGTGGCTACAAACGAAGACTACCACCAGCTTTAAGACATTCACCAAGTCATAGCTCAAACAAAACCCCAAGATATGCAAGTCGAATGGCTCTTGGAATTTGTTCTCTCTCGCTCCTCATTTTTTTCTGTTAAAGCTTTTGGGTTAAGCAAAAGCTTAAAAATAAACGAACTATAGACCAACACGAAGAAGGCTAGACACTCGAAGAAAAAAGTTAGTTAAAGTTTAACAATTGTAAGTTTTTGATGGAAGAGTATGGGGAGGCGATCTTCCATGGACAAACTGGAAAGAGGAGAGAGAGAGAGAGAGCGAAAAAGTCTTCGATAAGCCAATTTAAAAGAGAGTCTCTAATTGGGGACGACTACTTGTTAGAAGACGGCATTTTTAAATATTCAAAAATAATGAGTATTAAATATTTTGTACAATATCTCTGGTACTTGACAAGCTATATCCACCAAATCTATGTAATTTGGAAGTGTGCTCATTTTTCTTTCTATAATACTTCACTACTTGAATTTATTCCAAACACTTTCAAAGTTATGGCCCCGAGAAAATGCTTGCTCAAAAATTGTAAAGTTCTAAGAAAATAGAGCACATAAGAAACTGTTCCGATATCTCGGGTATTTGAACTGTTTTATTTACTAAATTTTTATTTTTTCTAAAGGTGAGACTTTCGTCTTTCAAAAAATGTGTTACTTCTTGAAGTCGTCTTCTGCGGTTTAAAAGTTATGGCCCCTAGAATATGATTGCATAAACTTTTTCAAATGTTGCGAATTTTGAGTATGAAATATTTTGTACGATATCTCTGGTACTAGACAAGCTACTTCCACCAAATCTATTTTTGTTTGGAGGGCGATCACTGCTCTTTCTATCAGACCTCAATACATGAAATTATTCCGAATATTTCCAAAGTTATGGCCCCGAGAAAGTGATTGCGCAAAAATTATAGAGTATTATGAAAAAAGAGCACATGGGAACCTGGTCCGAAATCTCTGATATTTGGAAAGTTTTAGTAACTAAATGTTTATTTTTTCTAGAGTTAAGACTTCCTTCTTTCAAAAAATACCTTACTTTTCGAAGTTATCTTCAGTAGTTTAAAAGTTATGGTCCCTAGAAAATGATTGCACACACTTTTTAAAAGTTTGACAAAATATGAGTATGAAATATTTTGTACGATATCTTTGGTACTAGACAAGCTGCATCCACCAAATCTATTTTTGTTTGGAGTGTGATCATTGCTCTTTCAATCATACTTCACTGCATGCGATTATTCCGAATATTTCCAAAGTTATGGGGCCAAGAAAGTGCTTGCTCAAAAATTATAAAGTTTTAAGAAAATAGAGCACATGGGAACCTGCTCCGATATCTATGGTATTTGAGCAGTTTTACCAGCTAAATGTTCAGTTTTCTAAAGGTAAGACTTCCTTCTTTCAAAAAATAGCTTATTTCTTGGAGCCATCTTCAGCGGTTTAGAATTTATGGCCCTAGAAAATGATTGCACGTAGTTTTTAAAAGTTTGACAAATAATGAGTATGAAATATTTTGTGCCATATCTCTTGCACTTAACGAGCTACATCCACGAAATCTATTTTCGTTTAGAGGGCGATCATTGCTCTTTCAATCATACCTCACTACAAGAAATTATTTCGAATATTTCCAAAGTTATGGCCTCAAGAAAGTGCTTGCTCAAAAATTATCAAGTTTTTAGAAAATAGAGCACATGGGAACCTGTTCCGATATCTATGGTATTTGGACAGATAGACTAACCAGACTTTAATTTCTCTAAAGTTAAGACTTCCTTCTTTCAAAAAATAGTTTACTTTTTGAAGTCATCTTCAGCGGGCCATAGAATATGATTGCGGACATTTTTTTAAAAGTTTGACAAATTATGAGTATGAAATATTTTGTACGATATCTCTGGTACTAGACAAGCTACATTCACCAAATTTATTTTTATTTGGAGGGCGATCATTACTCTTCCAACCATACTTCACTACAAGAAATTATTCCGAATAGTTCGAAAGTTATAGCCCCGAGAAATGGATTGTGCAAATATAACCCATTTTTTTAGAAAATAGAGTAAATTAGATCTTTTCCGATATCTCTGGCATTTGAACAATTAAATTAATACTGCTTTTGGGGATTTAAAATCGGGATGTTCTTCTTCTAGAAGGATTTCAAATTTTGAATAGGAAGCGATTTTCATAGAAGTTATGACCTCCACAAGACGATAACCAAAGAATTTTCTAATGAAAAAAAACCGGAGGAATGAAATTTCTTTTCCCAAAAAAATCCTTTCTCAAACAAAAATTCCTAGCCTAAAAATTGCTTACACTGAAATCAAACAATTTCCAATTCCGAAAAGTAAAACATATCCAATGCTATTTGATGCGGAAAATTTTAATAAGCATTTGTGTCTGCCATAATGATTATGATTGCAATTTCAAATATTATGTGTTTTGGTTGGTTTTATTATTTTCATTATTATTGTTGTTGTTGATGATTTTTCTTTTAAATTGAGTGTGATTTGGAAATCGCAATGCAATGGAGAAGAAAAAAAACCTAGTAACTGTTTTTATACAAAGTTGCTTGCAATTTGCTCCATTGCAAATATATCCATGGGCCGGACGAAAACACTTGCCTCTCCGCCAAGGCAATTTGATCGTCATTGTAGGCAGTTTGTTGGGGTTTTTGTTTTTGTCCATTTGTTAGATATCAATTTTTGCGGTTTCTGACGATGGTGCCAGCCATTCTGTTTGTGGTCACAAAAATGGAAAAAAAGTGCTTGGTTGTTGGGGTTGGGGAAAATCTCATAATAGATAATTGGTTTCTATATAACAATCAATAACCTCTCTCCCATGTAGTAGTTGCTGGGAAGGAAAATAAGTCTGGAATAGGAAACTGAAACAGATAATAAGCATAGATAAGAAGGAAGGTTAGTGGCAGATATCTTTGGAGGAACAGAGTAAGAAATACACAGCGTTCAGCTTTGCGGGGAAACCAGCACCATTCCAATGGGATTTAGACAGCATTATCGAACCGGAACTGGAGCTACATGCTTTCGCATATCTCGATGGTATCAGTCTCCTGATCGGAAGAAGGTTGGATGAAGATCTGAAGGTCTTTCGTAGGCTACGATCGAAAAGAGTAAGAAGTATACATCATTCGCTGATGCGGGGAAAAGTCTTGGGATGTTCTTTGGCCTTCATTCTGCACCAGCACCATTCCAATGGGATTTAGGCAGCACAATCGGACCGGAGTTGGAGCCATTTGTTCTCGCATATCTCGATGATATCAGCATCCTGATGGGAAGAAGGTTGGATGAAGATGTGACCAAAATATTAGAGGTCTTCCGTAGGCTTCCTTAGGCCAATTTTCGTATAACCTCCGACAAATGCCAGTTCTTTCAGAATCAAATCAAGTATCTGGGTCATGTAGTATGCCGCTAAGGTATGCAGACCGACTCCGATAAAGTAGCTTCAATTCTGGAAATAAAAAAATGTCGGGGAACTGAGAACTTTTCTAGGCCTGGCGTCCTGGTAAGGACTTTGACCAATCCAGTAAAATCTCTGCTAAAGAAGGGAAAGCATTGGCATTGGACCGAAAAACACTGACGGTTTTTGTACCCTCAGCCATATGGCTAGAGAGGGTATGTATCATTTGATGAGGGTATGTATCATTTGCCTCATCGAAATAACTGTTTTAGATCCTAGGTCTCTTTGGACCAAATCCGTTTCAGGACATTTGGAGTCGATCTAGCGTTGTCCGTCCGTCTGTCTGACTGGCTGGTGCGCACGATAACTCTCAAGGGGAGTATCCGATTTGATCCCAGCTTGGTACATCGTAATATTGATGTCAAACTAAGATCGGGTTCGGAGAAGGGCAAATCTCGGTCCACTCCTTCTGGTACCTCCCCCACAAAATGCCAATATTTTCAAAGAAAATAATTTACTGCACAGAAAGGGAAAGGATAATCCGATTTAGCTCCAACTTTGCATATCCTAATATTTGCGTCAATGCTAGGTCAGGTGCGAAAATTGACAATATCAGACCACTCCTTCAAGTACCTTCCCCACAAAGGGTCAAAATTTGGAATAATCATAACTTTTATAAAATATGATGTAAGTCTCCGATTGTCTTCATATTGCACACATCACAATATTTTTATTAACCCAAGCTGTGGTGTGAAGATGGCAGATATTGGTCCACTCCTACAGGTACATCGCCCACAAAGGGTCAAAATTTTGAATTTTCAAGAAGCTCATAAAACACGAAATTAACATCCAATTCCATCCAGACTTGACATATCTCAATATTTCCATCATTAAAAGATATGTTATAAAGATGACAGAGATCGGACCATAATTCTGGTACCTCCCCCACAGAGGGTCAAAGTTTTGAATAACAAAAACGATTATAAAATGTGATGTAAGTTTCCGATTATCTTCAAATTACACACATCACAATATTCTTATTAACCCAAGCTGTGGTGTGAAGATGGCAGATATTGGTCCACTCCTTCTGGTACATCCGCCACAAAGGTTCAAAATTTTGAATATTCGTGAAGCTCATAAAATCCGAAATAAGCATCCGATTGTCTTCAAATTACACACATCACAATATTTTTATTAGCCCAAGGTCTGGTGTAAAGATGGCAGATATCGATCCACTCCTTCTGGTACCTCCCCCACAAAGGGTCAAAATTTCGAATATTCATGAAGCTCATAAAACACGAAATTAACATCCGATTCTCTTCAGACTTGACACATCTCAATATTTTCATCAACACAAGATCTTTTACAAAGATGGTAGAGATCGGACCATTCCCTCTGGTACCTCTCCCACAAAGGGTCAACATTTTGAATAACCAAAACGATTATAAAATCTGAAATAAGCATCCGGTTCTTTTCAAACTACACACATCACAATATTTTTATTAACCCAAGGTCTGGTGTGAAAATGGAATATATCGGACCACTTCTTCTGGTACCTTCCCCACAAAGGGTCAAAATTTTGAATATTCATGAAGCTCATAAAACACGAAATTATCTTCGGATTCCATTCAGACTTGGCACATTGCAATATTTCCATCATCACAAGATCTGTTATAAAGATGGTAAAGATCGGAACATTCCTTCTGGTACCTCCCCCACACAGGGTCAAAGTTTTGAATAACAAAAACGATTATAAAATCCGATATAAGCATCCGATTGTCTTCAAATTACACACATCACAATATTTTTATTAACCCAAGCTGTGGCGTGAAGATGGCAGATATTGGTCCACTCCTTGTGGTACCTTCCCCACAAAGGGTCAACATTTTGAATTTTCAAGAAGCTCATAAAACACGAAATTAACACCCAATTCCATCCAGACTTGACATATCTCAATATTCCCATCAACGCAAGATCTGTTATAAAAATTGTAGAGATCGGACCATTCCTTCTGGTACCTCCCCCACAAAGGGTTAAGATTTTGAATAATCAAAACGATTATAAAATCCGAAATAAGTATCCGGTTCTCTTCATAGTACTCATATCAAAATATTTTTATTAACCCAAGGTCTGGTGTAAAGATGGCAGATATCGGTCCACTCCTTCTGGTACCTCCCCCACAAAGGGTCAAAATTTTCAATATTCATGAAGCTCATAAAACACGAAATTAACATCCATTTCCAACCCTCTTTGTATATTTCTCCTTTTCATTCCATTAACATAAGACTCCAGACTTCCTCTCGTCGACAAGGGTTTTTCCTACACTTGTTCATAAATAGGTCTTTTATTTTTTCCTTAATAATACGAATGCCAGATTCAAATAAAATTAAAAAAAAAAAACGAAAACAAAAAAACAAAACGTATTTACAAAATTTCCATACTTAAAATACTCTACTGCATTTCTATACCCTCTATTTGTTTGTTTAACTAAGTTCTTCCCCTTCGCTCAGCTCCCGGCCAAGCTCATTTAATGTTAAAATAACTGCCCCAATTAAATGTATCGAACCAGTAACCAGCACATCCAATTGCTGCTGCGGATAATTCTCTCTTATAGACTGAAAACAGGACATAACTGTGGTATAGGTTTTGGCTTGCTGTTTTGTTTTCGCTTCCATTTCTTCGCTGGGAGATCTCCGTATATCTTCACACAATTCTTGCCAATTGCGCAAATGCATTTGGGCCCGTTTCAGTTGTTCCACATGGGAGTGTAAAACTGATTTGGTATCTTGGGTATTTTGGGCCGATGTTGCAATATTCGGTACAAAACACACCATATCGAAGTGTGTGTAATTACGCAGGATGCGGAGGAGATTTTTGGAATCACGATCACCGGTTGTGTTGAAAATTAAAATTTTGGGTCTTCGCCTGGAGACCTGGGCAAACCAGTTGCCACAGACCTGCATACTTTCCACCGTGTGGGCACCATCCAAATGCATGCTGGAGCGAAAAAAAGAGGAAAATTTAATTTCAAAAGTCCTGATTTAAACAGCAGGTTGTACCTACTTGAAATTATAAAACTTCACCACCTGACATCGGCCGGGCCACACACAATTCACCAAGCCCTCCAGGGCTAAATCGCTTAAATGCGGCCGATTAACGCCATAGTGTTTAAAGAAACCATTACGATTTTGTCTCAACCAATCGTAGGCCAGCTGCAAGGCCAGGGAACCATTCAGGGAGATGATGTTACTAAACGACTCCCTTAGCTTTTGATTTTTTTCTCCAAAATACTCGCCAAATTCCGGTACAATATGGAGGCAGGCATTTTTCTCCTCAGCCCTGGCCTTTATGACCTCCAAACATTCCGGCTGTTTGACAGAGGTATATACCTGACAATTGGGTTTTATAATACCCGCCTTTTGCCAGGCAATTTCCTTGAGCGTATTACCCAGCAAATTTGTATGTTCCAAACCCAAGGAGGTAATGCCCACCGTTTTGCTATGCGGCACTATGTTCGTGCAATCCAATTCCCCGCCAATACCCACCTCCAAAATGACCACATCCACTTTCTCCGCCAAATAGATATGGAAACATAAAATTGTAAGGAATTTAAAATAGGCCGGCATATCTGTTTCATTTTCCTGCAGGGCCTTTAATCGATTGTAGACAGGCCAGAAATGTTGCGTAAACTTTTGCTTGGATATCGGCTGTCCATTGATGCGTATACGTTCGGTAAGCGATACCAAGTGGGGAGAGCTATAGAAGCCTGTTTTTACACCATAATGGCGTAGTATGGAATCCGTCAAGGCACACGTTGAGCCCTAGAAGAGATAAGGGAAAAAAATATAATTATGGAATCTTAAAGTGGTTCGAACCGGTTAGTTTTGGAACTAAACAAAACGCAGTTCAAAAAAAACCTTTGACCCCAAAAAGTGTTGGCAATTTTTTTTTTTTTTTTTGTTTACAAAAATTCCAAAATGTTTTGCATTGTTGTTGTTGTTTTTGTTGCCAATCTTATCGTTTACAAATCGCATAAGCTACCCGCCCTCCGGTTCCCTGATATGACATTCCTGCCATAATTATGGTACGTCATGGCGTTTCATTAGATAGTTGATAGCATTTTTTTTTTCTTCTTCTAAGTTTGTTATTGTTTTATTGGTGGTCGTAAGGTTATCGGAGCTTTCTAGCGCAATTCTGGGCGAATAAACAGAATTGTGTCTACCTCACGATGCCATTGATCGTATTTCATTGCAACTTTTTTGCAAGCTAATGGCTTTTTTTGTTTCTCAGGTTTTAGAAATAGAATTCCGTTTTAAAAAACGGAAAACAAAAATTCGGAGGAAGACGAAGCAGAAGCCATAGCTGCCAAAAGATAAGAGAAAATGCCCATCAAGATAAGTCTAAGAGATGGATGGATTTGGATGCTTATTTTGCTTTGTTTGAGCGTTTCTTTTCCAAAAAATCTTAAACCCTATGTGGGGGAGGTACCAGAAGGAGTGATCCGATCTCTACCATCTTTATAACAGATCTTGTATTGATGGAAATATTGAGTTGTGCCAAGTCTGAATGGAATCGGACGTTAATGACGTGTTTTATGAGCTTCATGAATGTTCAAAATTTCGACCCTTTGTGGGGGAGGTACCAGAAGGAGTGGACCGTTATATTCCGACTTCACACCAGACCTTGGGTTAATAAAATTATTGCGATGTATGTAATTTGAAGAGAACCGGATGTTAATTTCGCGTTTCATGAGCTTCACGAATATTCGAAATTTTTACCCTTTGTGGGGGAGATATCAGAAGGAGTGATCCGATCTCTACCATCTTTATAACAGATCTTGTATTGATGGAAATATTGAGTTGTGCCAAGTCTGAAGGGAATCGGATGTTAATTTCGTGTTTTATGAGCTTCATGAATTTTCAAAATTGTGACCCTTTGTGGGGGAGGTACGAGAAGGAGTTGACCGATCTATCCCATCTTCATACCAGACATTGGATTAATACAAATATTGTGATGTGTGCAATTTGAAGAGAACCTGATACTTATTTCGAATTTTATGATCGTTTTTGTTTTTCAAATCTTTGACCCTTTGTGTGGGAGGTACCAGAAGGAATTGTCCGATCTCTACCATCTTTATAACAGATCTTGTATTGATGGAAATATTGAGTTGTGCCAAGTCTGAATGGAATCGGGCGTTAATGACGTGTTTTATGAGCTTCATGAATATTCAAAATTTCGACCCTTTGTGGGGGAGGTGCCAGAAGGAGTACATCGATGCATCCCATCTTCACACCAGACCTTGGGTTAATAAAAATATTGCGATGTGTGTAGTTTGAAGAGAGCCGGATGCTTATTTCGGATTTTATGGTCGTTTTGATTATTCAAAATTTTGACCCTTTGTGTGGGAGGTACCAGAAGGAATGATCCGATCTCTACCATATTTACAACAGATATTGTGTTGATGAAAATATTGAGTTGTGCCAAGTCTGAATGGAATCGGATGTTAATTTCGTGTTTTATGAGCTTCATGAATATTCGAAATTTTGACCCTTTGTGGGGGAGGTACCAGAAGGAATGGACTGATATATTTCAACTTCACACCAGACCTTGGGTTAGTAATAATATTGTGATGTGTGTAATTTGAAGAGAACCGGATGCTTATTTCGGATTTTATGATCATTTTGGTTGTTCAAAATTCTTGCCCTTTGTGGGAGAGGTACCAAAAGGAATGGTCCGATTTCTACCATCTTTATAACAGATCTTGTGTTGATGAAAATATTGAGTTGTACCAAGTCTGAAGGGAATCGGATGTTAATTTCGCGTTTTATGAGCTTCATGAATATTCAAAATTGTGACCCTTTGTGGGAGAGGTACTAGAAGGAGTTGACCGATATATTCCATCTTAACACCAGACATTGGATGAATACAAATATTTTTATGTGCGTAATTTCAAGACAATCGGACACTTACATCACGTTTTATAAGAGTTATAATTATTCCAATTATTTGACCCTTTGTGGGGAAAGTACTTGATGGAGTGCACCGATTTTGTCCATTTTCGCACCTGCTGTAGCACTAATGCAAATATTAGGATTTGCAAAATTGGAGCAAAATCGGATTATCCTTTCTCTTTTGGTGCAGTAAATGATTTTCTTTGAAAATGTTGACATGTTGTTGTGTGAGGAAGGTACCAGAAGGAGTGGACCTATAGTGCCCATCCCCGAACTCGATTTAAGTTTGACAATAATCTTACCATGTACCAAGTTTGAAACAAATCGGATACTCCCTTCGAGAGTTATCGTGCGCACCAGCCAGCCAGACAGACGGACGGATATCGCTAGATCGACTCCAAATGTCCTGAAACAGATTTGATCCAAAGAAACCTAGGGTCTAAAACCGTTATTTCGATGAGGCCCGTTTTACCCTCTCTAGCCATTAGCTGAGGGTATAAAAAACAGTTTATATACAATCTAAAGGGGTGTCCAGGGGTGATCTAAAATGGAGTCTAAACACAAGCTAAAAAAGCAGTCTAGATACAATCGAAAATAGTGTTGCGACACGATCTAAAATGGAGCCTAGGTGACTAAACGGTAGTCTAAAGGCGAGGTAAAAGGGAATCCATAGACGAGCTAACAGAGGGCTAGAAAAGAGTGTCCATAGATTAGCTAAAAAGAAGGCTAAATACCAGTTAAAAGGGTGTCTAGAGATGAGCGGTTGAATAAAAAAGGGATACTATTGGCCAAACAAAAGTTAAGCTAAAAGGTAATATTTAGACGAGCTGAAAATCTGGTCCAGAGCCTAGCTAAAATGAAGTCCAGAGACTAGCTAAAATGAAGTCCAGAGCCTAGCTAAAATTAAGTCCAGAGACTACCTAAAATTAAGTCCAGAGACTACCTAAAATGAAGTCCCGAGACGAATTAAATGGGAATCTAGAGATGAGCTGTTAGAGAGTCTTTAAATGATTCTATAAAGACCCCCCTTTTTGGTGCCCCATCAATAGTGGTCCTACACAGTAGGCCCTACTGTGGAATAGCTCTAACATTATATCGAAGTGACGTTTGTTCGCTGCTCCTATCGGTTCGCAATTACTACTCCCCCGTCTTCTATGATTAGGAGTTCAGAGCCGTTGCTGCAAAACGGTCTTTTCAGCCATCATAACTTAAATTTACGTATCCTTTTATTTTTGTATATCAACATTGCGAGGGGGTATGTTCAGCGTTATCCCGTCAATTTTCATATGTCGAGGCATCTTTTATTTGTAATTCATGGAATAAGAAATCTACCATGGTCTCTGACATCTCGAATTAAATCGCTTATTTGTATTCAAAGCATATACTTATATCTTGATTCCAGTTGCTATGCTTCCGACCTTTTTTTGTAAGAGAATCTTCTTGCAAATCTCAGCAATTCTTCCTCCAAATCGTACCAATTTTGTCCCAAGGCCAAACGAATAAGCTGTGCTATGATTTGTCTCAAACGCTAATTTGTTTACCAAATTATATAGACATAAAGATGGACGGAAGGCCTTTGCTAAATCAATTCAGAATGGGATGCATATGCATATCTCCAAGAGGAACCATAGGTCAATCTAGTTGCCTTTTGTATGTTACGAACAAATGCAAAAAGACAGCACGTCTATATCATTTTTTTGTGGGTCAAGCTATAAAAATTCGCTATACGGTTTTCTATGTTGAGTGTCTCTTTCGAGTTATGGAATATCTCCTCTCCGGTGCATTGCTGTATGACACCTTAATGCCATGGAAAATTGCAAATGGTTTCCCCCCCCCCCCCCCCCCCTCAAAAAGAAACTGATAATTTCCTCTCCATTCTTATCGGCATTTTATGAAAACATGTTTCTATTTAAAAAAAAAACCCACATACACATAATCGGATGTTCTGCGGAAATAGCAAACAATGAATAATAGCTGCAGGGGGGATTTTTTTTTACAAAATCCAAAGAATCCAAGAATTTCAAGTAGCAATGCAAAAAGTGGGATTTTTTTGAAACTGCATTTGAAACAGAGAAAATATAAATAAATTTTTCAACCACAAAAACCACACACAGGTGTTGGCCACACATACATACCTTTCCCTTGGTGCCAGCCACATGTATGATCGATAGAGCTTTTAAGTCATCTAAGGTTAAGCCACTGCGTAACAGATATTTTTCCGTTTCCTGTAATGAATTTAAGCGACGTCGCTGATGCAGGGATGAGCGTAAGGCCTCCGCATTCGATTGGAGCAGGTTTAGGGCCTTTACGGCTTCCTAAGGTAGAAATGGAAAACAACAAAACATAAGATTTTTTTTTCTCAAAATCCATAACACATTTCCACCTACCTCATAGTCCAAACTGGCTTCTTGTTGGTTTTGCTGTTGTGGTTCTTCTAAGTAGTTTTTATGGCCCACGGCCAGTAGATTGTTCAAAGTCAACCACTTAACATCGTTTGAAGGAACCTTTGTTGTTATTAATGAATTAGTTGTTGTTTTCACATTGTTATTATTATTATTTTTGTTGTTCTTATCAGAATCCATGCCAGGCGTAGAAGTGAATTTCTTGTCATGTGTTTGGAACACATATTCCTCAAACATTTTCCTCTGCAGCATTTTCTGGTGGTTTTTATTAGGTCGCCAGGTGGAAAATGCCATCCTTTCACATTGGTGGTTATGTATGGTCGATGCTGATCTCTGAGAGGCAGTAATTGCCTCACGTCCAACCAAATGCAGGGCACGAGTTCTAATGATGAATGATTGGTGGCGAAGCGTTGGCCACAACAACAGAACATGTGTGGCCAACATTTTGGTTTGAATTTGAGTTTGTTTGGTTGGAATTGGGCGGGAGAGGTGGACTTCACAGAGAGAGAGAGAGGGAGAGAGAGAAGTCGTAAGTGTTGTTCTTGTTGTGTGTATTTCTGAAAGAGAGACGACATTTACTTAGTAAAGAGAGAGAGCGCATCAACATAATAAAGAGATCAACATTTAGGGTTGCCAAATCATAGATAATTCATCAAAGAGGGACATTTCATGGGAAAAAGCGTGGTAGAAGAATATAGCAGCGATGCTCAAAACCGTGTTCTAGAACATGAACCGAAAAACGAGATATTTTAAGAGAAAATTAAAATTCTATTTTCCTTTATATTTTATGGTTCAATTTAATTGTTTTTAAACACGAATGTTTGCCAAAATAATTTATAAAGCAAATGGATAAAAAATATTTGTATAAATAATGACTTAACACTGTTTTGTTCTTGATTTGAATAAGCAAAGAGAAATTTGACTGAAAAGAGATATTTTTTCTTGAGCACCGCTGATATAGGTAGACGCATCGACACAGCTGCTGAGACCCTGAACTGTCAAACCAATTTTAGAATTGGTGAAATTTTCACTGCAAATTTCAGATCATTAAGCTCGTCTCAAAAGAGAAAACAAACACTTAAATCATAAAACATATGATCTTCGCCTTAACAAGGCAAAACTCAAAAATTCAGCCGAGCCTGGCTGTGGGATTTGAACCGCGGACCTCTGTGTGCAGCCAACTAGAAGTTGCCGTCTCTACGTTCAGAGCCATTAACCCGTCTTCCTAAAGCAGCACTAAAACAAGTGTATGCATTGGAAGCAATGTAGTTGTTGTGGACAAAATGTATAATTCGCATATGCTAATTTGCAATAAGTTCGAAATATATACTACTTTCCAGAGAACGGCCCTTGTAAGCCATCATCCACATCAAATATGCCTGATGAGCCGCTTAACCAACGGCGAAACGCGTCGCATAGTGGTGAGTGTGTGATAGTGTCTATCTGGCTTTCCTTTTCACTGCAAATTTCAGATCATTAAGCTCGTCTCGAAAGAGAAAACAAACACTTAAATCATAAAACATATGATCTTCGCCTTAACAAGGCAAAACTCGAAAAATTATTTAAATTTGTAAAAATTTTTGAAAAACGCGAATTATAATAACATCCGAATGACGTCTTATAAGAAAACATTTAAAAATCTACTTATATTTGAAGGAAAAAACATTTAAATTATTTTGACATATCAATGCTCCCAAGTATCATCTACCTGTATATTTCTGCCATGGGAATAAGGCAAATAAAAAAAATCGTTACTGAATATTGGGTGAACCTTCATTTTTGCAACAAATGGACAAACATGTTGTATAATTTTGGGATAAAACTGAATTGTCGTAACATTTTCGATTCAATTTTGTGGAATAACCGCATCAGTGCTAGGTCAAGTGTGAATATCGGTCCACTCCATCAAGTAACTCCCCCACAAAGTGTCAACATTTTGAAAAATTTTATCTTTTGAAAAAAATGGCAATATTTTTAGTAACTCCCAGGTCTGGTGTAAAGATGGAACATATATCAGTTCACTCCCCTCAGAGGGTCAACATGTATATCCATGAAGCTCATCAAATGCGAAATTACAATTCGATTCCATTCAGACTTGGCACATATCAATTTTCCATAAACGCACGATCTGTTATAAAAATGGTTTAAATCGGATTATTCTTTCTGGTACCTTCTCCACAAAAATTCCAACATTTTGCATAATCAAAACGTTCATAATATCCGAAATAAGCATTCAGGTGCTCTTCATAATTCACACATGCCATTATTTCTACTAATACAAGATCTGCGCTGTGAAGATGGAATGTACCGGTCCACTCCTTATAGCACCTCCCTCACAGAGGGTCAACATTTTTGAATACAGGTTGAGATGAAAAAAACTGCAACCAACTTCAGACTTCAGTAAAGACGCGACTTGATCGAAAGCCACGTCGCAGTGGCCGAAAAATGGCTCGTAAGCTGAATATATCGCAATATTCCATTCGGCAAATATTGAAAAATGGGCACCAAAATCTGTTGAACTCCGTTGTGTCTTGAGTATTTTGGAAAGCAAAGTTGGCACTAAAAAATATCAAAGTGTCGATCACCTCAAGCAATGGGAATGGGCCAAAATAGCGCAGAGCAACATTCGGGCAGCGTGTGACGGTTTGAAGGCCATCCAAAGACCTAAAATGGTAAAGACTAGACAAAATGCATTTTGAGCAAATGGTTTGTGTCTACAATACATAGAGTAACAGCTCATGGCAGAGACATGTTAATATAAAAACCAATATTACAGAAACGGATATCAAATAAAAAATTGAAAAATCCAAAATTTTGGTTTCAAAATTCTATTCCATGGACCTTTCCGAAAATTTGCACATTGCTTTGGCGGTTTAAATCAGTTAACATTTGTAATTATGTTGTTATGATATCGTAACAACAGAGGTATTTTCACAGGGTTACCATATCTTGACTCTGTCTTGTCCTATCTTTACACTTCTATGTCTTTGGGCTATCATTCGTGCCAAAGGTGACCAAATCTAAACTTATTCTAAAATTTGATGCTATTTCCGACATTTTTTGCTTTCATTCCATAAAATTTAAAAAAAAAATGAAAAAATTATGGCGTTTAACTTTGTTGCAGTTTTTTTTTGTTGCCATACTTCTGCGTTGTTCCATTAATTATAAAATTCTTATATCTAAGTTCTTGGAAATCTCGATTTATTTCAAAAACTATCATCTAACAGCTCTTTTCAGCGTTAAATCACAAAGTGTAAAGCCCCCTTAATACTACAACTGGCTCACTCTCTCTCTCAAATTCTTATGAGAACTGTCATTTTCATGCACGTTTTTTGTTTCTCATTAGTTTGTTTTGCTTTTTAAGTTGTTGTTTTAGTAACGCGTTTACGTCTTTTTTTAAGTTTTTTAAGTAGAAAAGTTATTAAATTAAATATCAAAATTGGCGTCTTAGCTTCCAAAGAATAGAAAAGGTAAATAAACTCTTTGACCTCAATCACAAGTGGATATAGCAAAGGTGGCTAAAAGGACAAGCAATTATTAAATTTGTGTGAATTTTTTGCTTTAACTCAATAAAATTTAAAAAAATGTAAAAATTATGTCGTTTGACTTTGTTGCAGTTTTTTTATCTCACCCTGTACAAATGTTGCCATACCTCAACGTTGTTCTATTAATTATGGAATTCATATATCTATATATTATAAGTTCTTGGAAATCTCGATTTAATTCAAAAACTATCATCAAACAGCTCTTTTCAGCGTTAAATCACAAAATGTAAAACCCCCTTAACACTACAACAAAAACTATCATCAAACAGCTCTTTTCAGCGTTAAATCACAAAGTGTAAAGCCCCCTTAATACTACAACTGACACACTCTCTCTCAAATTCTTATGAGAACTGTCATTTCCATGCACGTTTTTTGTTTCTCATTAGTTTGTTTTGCTTTTTAAGTTGTTGTTTTTTAGTAACGCGTTATTGTTTTTACATCTTTTTCTTAAGCTTTTAACAAGAAAAATTATTATATTAAATATCAAAATTGGCGTCTTAACTTCCAAAGAATAGAAAAGGTAAATAAACTCTTGGACCTCAATCACAAGTGGATATAGTAAAGGTGGCTAAAAGGACAAGCAATTCCAAGGGAATTTGTAAAGAAATGTTTTTGGATTTCTTCATTTTTTGCCGATGTTTATTTTTGGTATACCGGTCAAAAGTAAGCCAGAGGGGCTCGAGGGCTTCTTTTTTTGTTTTTGTTTAAATACTTACAGAAGTTGTAGACGGCTTGAAGATCTGTTACAATGAAAGGTATCTTTTTCACAAATTTAGCAATTTTTATAGGTATTTTATGATATTTACTATTGTCTTAACTTTTTTCATTTAATATACACAAACTTGATGAGGACACTGGTTACATGATTACAATTTTCAATCTATTATTCACTTATTCCTGTATATTTTTGGCCAAAATCAGCTGTTTGCAGATATGCATTGGCCTACCACACTGCGCAATTTGGTTAACTGACCTACCACCACCACCACAACACAGCAGCCACAGTAGTCAGTTGCCGGTGCAAAATTTTTGAAATTTATATTTTTATTATTTTAACAAAAAAATCTCATTTTTTTCTAATTTCAGAATAAAAATCTATTAAAAATCAACGAGAAGGAGGTATGCTGTCGCCGTCATATAATCACGTTTTAAACTGATAATTTGCTTTTTTTTTTGACATCATCATAGGCTTGATTTTTAAGTCTCGCCGTCGTTGAGGAACTGATAAGCCGGAAACCCCTGCGACTTTGTAATATAGCTTCAGTTTTGTGTGTGTTTCAAAGATGAAACGTACTTGTTCCACTTCAGATGATTCCGAAGAGATAATTGTTGTAAAAAAGTCACATAATGATGGTGCAATTAATCTAGATTTGAAAATAAATAATGAAGATTCTGATAGCGATGTGAGTGAAGGTGACAATGATGAGGAGGAGGACGGCGATGAAACACCGAGAGGAAGGTAGGTAACAAAGAAATAAAATCATAAACATATGATCTTCGCATTAATAAGGCAAACATTTATTTAACAGAAATTTCTTGATTTAGATGACTTACAAATTTCGTTGCCATAAAGTACTTGGTGGCTATTTGAACTTCTGACATAAAACTTGGCGCCTAGCTCGTCTTTTTAGTAAACCTCCCATAACCTCAAAATCTGAAAAAAATTTCAATATTCCGCAAAATTACCCAACGGATTTTGTTCTAATATTACAATTTAAGTTATATTTGGCTCAGGTTTATTTTGACCAAAAACCACCATAGTAGGCTCCAAATTTTTGCGACGGGGCCCATATAATTCTTCAAAATTTTAAAGATTTTAGTTAAAACTTCTAACAAATTTTGTTGTTATGAAGTACTTGGTAGCTATTTAAACTTTTGACATAAAAATTAGATATGTAGCTCCTCCTTTTTGTATACCTCCCATACAACATAACCTCAAAATCGGACATATTTTAAATTTTCCGCCAAATTTCGCAAAGGATTTTGTTCTAATATTGCAGGTGTAGTTCTGGACGCCTTTGAGATAAAATCGCAATATTAGGCTCAAAATTTTTGGCATGGGGCCCATTGAGTTCTCCAAAATTGTCCAAAATTTTGAAGATTTTAATTAAAATTTCTAACAAATTTTATTGTTATGAAGTACTTGGTAGCTAATTAACATTTTGACATAAAAATTAGATATGTAGCTCTTCCTTTTAGTACACCTCCCATACAACATAACCTCAAAATCTGATATATTTTCAATTTTCCGCCAAATTTCGCAGCGGATTTTCTTCTAATTTTGCGGTTCTAGTTCTAGGCGGCTAAGACATCATTTGAGAAAAAATTCGCCATATTAGATCCTACATTTTTGCGATGAGGCCCATAAAATTCTAAAAAATCGTCAAAATTTTGAATATTTTTATTAAAATTTCTAACAAATTTTGTTGTTATGAAGTACTTGGTAGCTAATTAGCCTTTAGACATAAAAATTAGATATATAGCTCGACTTTTTTGAATACCTCCCAAACAACATAACCTCAAAATTTGAATTTTTTTTTAATTCTCCGCCAAATTTCGCAACGATTTTTGTTCTAATATTGCAGGTGTAGTTCTGGACGCCTGAGACATCATTTAACCAAAAATCGCCATATTAGGCTAAAAATTTTTGCGACGGGCCCCATATATTACTCCAAAATTGTCAAAATTTTGAAGATTTTTATTAAAATTTCTAACAAATGTTGTTGTTATGAAGTATTTGGAAGCTAATTAGCCTTTAGACATAAAAATTAGACATATAGCTCGACTTTTTAGAATACCTCCCAAACAACATAACCTCAAAATTTGACATTTTTTTTAATTCTCCGCCAAATTTCGCAACGGATTTTGTTCTAATTTTGCAGTTGTAGTTCTAGGCTACTGAGACATCATTTGACCAAAAATCGCCATATTAGGTAATACGGAAGGGGAAACCTTGTGACATAAGAATTAAATGCATAGCTCGTTGTTTCAACATAACCTCAAAATTTAACCAATTTTTAATTTTTAGCCAAAATTTGGCAGGCAATGTTGTTGTAATGTGGCAGATTTAGCTTTTGGTAAAAAAAAAAGCTTTTGGTAAAAAAAATCGCCAAAATTGCTCCACATTTTGGGAAAGGTCCCATAAAAAATATACCCCAAAATTGTGCAAAATTCTCAGATTTTGATTTTGAAATTCAAAAAAAAAATTGTTGTTATGTGAGATATGATGTTCCTAAAGCATAATAACTCCTGCGACATAAGAAACATATCTCGCTTTAACATAACCACAAAATCACATAACCTTAAAAAAATTGTATGGGCTTCCTCCAAAGAAAGCCCTAGGGTTTTTCAATTTTATGGGAATTTTTATAAAGATCATGCCCTTATTGGATTGTATGATAACCTCAAAGCCAGGGAAAAAAGTCCCACATTACTCCCCCATTTGATATTGACATCCTTCGACATAACCTCACAATTTAAAACAGTTTTTACAATTTCCCCCCTTTGAGTTTTTTTCCCGAATAACATAATTTTTATTTAATCGTTTTCCAGTTCCAATGCAAATTTCCCCGCCCGTTTGGGTAAGTGTGAAGTATGTGCCGCCCAAGAAGCCCGCTACACCTGCCCCAAATGTGAAGTGAAAACCTGCTGCCTGAACTGTGTACGCATACACAAGAAAGAACTGGAATGTGATGGCATACGGGATCGCACCAAATTCATACCCCTCAAAGATATGACAAAAATGGATTTTATGAGCGACTACTATTTTCTCGAAGAATGCACACGATATGTGGAAGATCGTAAAGTGGATCGTGTTAAACGGTATACACGTTTCAATACCGAATTGCCCATACACTTGTATCGCCTTAGGCAGGCGGCCAAGGAGCGGAAATGTACCCTCAAGATTTTGATACAAAACTTTGCCAGACATAAGGAGAACACCACCTACTATGATTGGAAGACGAAGAAGATTTGGTGGCGGGTAAAGTGGATTTTCGTCAATGCCGGGAATTTGTGTTATGTCGATGAGAAATGCCTTGAGGATGAGTATCTAAGAGATTTACTCAAGAAATACATAGATAAGGATTGTCCGGAGCCGGTGGCAGAGAAAAAGAAATTGGAGTTCTATCAAAGCAAGGGGGTGCAGGGTTTAAGGGTAAGATATTTCGGTTAGAAAAATAATAAAAAAAAAACTTAATTTTATTTTGCCTTTAGGTCATGCTAAAATCGGAAGGCATTAAAGGCTGTAAAAATCGTTATTATCTCCTGGATGTCAACAAAACCTTGAGAAGTAATCTTAAACATAAAACCTTGGTGGAATATCCTTTCATATATGTTAGCTATGAGGAGGATCCCTGTGGTTTTGACATCATTGATTCAGGTGAGATTCCTTGTAGTTTTCTCAAATCTTTTTGTAAATATTAACTCTTGTGCGGTTTCAGAGGAAGATGTTGAAGGTGAAACAAAACAACATCAAGATCTGCTGGAACAATATCGCAAGGCGGCACTGGAAAAACAAAAACGCCAACAAGCTGAGGGCTCTGAAGAGGATGGCGATGGCGACGATGAAACCCCTGCTGATGTTGAAACTTTGGTAAAGTTACAGGCCGAACAAAGACGCAAAGAACGGCAACGCAAACGTGCCGAGTATGAAAAACAACAAAGTCATAACTTCCTCTTTACCGATGAACAGCTAATGGAGGCATTATCTTCTTCGTCCAGCGAGGATGAAGAGGGCTAATATAAACCTTTAATAATTTTAAAATTAAGATGTAATATACTTGTTTTTATACATATCAAGGTTTTCTCTTTAGTTCCCGATATATCTATTTCAGTATTCGAAAGGGTTAATTCTTCTCCGTAAGTATGAAATTTCAGGAGACCATGGTCAAAGTTCTCAAATTCGACGTGGAATAAAACTTTCCATGATGGTATACCACCTCATATTTTACTTCTGCCCATAGGCAGGCTCTATTTGTAGGAGAGAAAGGTTAGGGGACTGGAAGTGGGGAATCGAAGTCTAAATATAGCCTAACCTCAAAATGTTGGGCAAAGAACCTGACCTTAAAATTTAGAAAAATCCCAAAATATTATTGGCATTTTTATTAAGACTTTTTCAGACAGATTGCTATTTGATATATAGCTGTCCTGATGGATATTGAGATGCAAAAAGAAAGGCAAAGGTAGTATATTTTTAGCGATGTCCATCCGCCCGTCCGTCTGTGGAAATCACTCTAGTTTCCGAACGAAATGAAGTAGGTTGATAAAAATTTTACCCGAATGTATATTATGTCTTCAGGACTTTTGGTATTGAAAATGGGCTATGTATGTCCACGTTTTGGTATGGCTCCTATATAACGGTACCTTTCGATATTCGGTATTTTCATGATTTAAGCCACATTATTCACCGGAAATGTTTCAAATTTTGTATTTGAAGTTCGTAATGAATGCTACAGCCTAAGACAGAAAATTATCTGTGCAGGTCCACGTCTTCGTATAGCCACCCATATAACGATACCTCTCGATAGTCGGCATTTTGATGATTTAGGCGACATTATTCACCGGAATCGCTTCTAATTTGGTATTTGAAGTTCGTAATGGATACTATAGCCTATGACAGAAAATTGTCTGTGCAGGTCCACGTCTTTGTATAGCCCCCATATAATTTTAACTCCCTATTTTCGGTATTTTGGTGATTTAAGCGACATTATCTACCGGGAATTTTTCAAATTTTGTATTTGAAGTTCTAAATGGATACTACACCCTATGACAGAAAATTGTCTGTGCAGGTCCACGTCTTCGTATAGCCCCCATATAACGTTTTTTTTTTTTTTTTTTTTTTTTTTGTTTTTTTCGAACGTTCCCTCGCCTCACATTCCCACCCCTGCCGACCGAGGGGGCGACCTCCCTTTACGGAGGGATCGCGTACACATCATGATCCGCATCATAATGGGAATTCAGTAGGAAATTTAAAACCAGCTACAGAATTTAATTCATCAGCTAGTTTGTCAAATAATAAAACATGTATGTTAATTGTTTAAAAATAAAATTATTCTAGATTTAATAACTTCTAAACTCATACCAAAATCTACATTACAGTACACAGAATTAAAGTCAACACACATTTTACTAAGAGGTTCGCCCATTGAATAATTCGTGCGGTGAAAATCAGTATATAATAATTGGTAGTATCTACTAGATCTAAACGGAACATTAATTCTAATAGATGAAATCAGAAAATCTGAGGGTATATTACCATTTAATATTTTTAGTACAAACATGGAGTTCAACATAATACGTCTGCTTTTAAGTGTAGGCAATCTAATTAATTTTAGCCTGCTAGCATAAGAAGGCAAAACAAAATCACTATTCCAATGTAAACCTCGTAAGGCAAATAGCAGAAATTGTTTTTGCACGGATTCTATTTTATCTGAGTATATTGCATATTGAGGATCCCATACAACAGAACCGTATTCCAATATAGGTCTAACAAGAGACGTAAATAACTGTTTTGTTATATATGGATCAGAAAATTCTTTGGCCCACCGTTTAACAAAACCTAAAACACCATTTGCTTTATTTACCATTGTTATTACATGGCTATTAAAATTTAATTTTGGATCCATCAAGAGGCCAAGATCAACAAATGAATCTACAGTTGATAATGAATGACCGTCAATATTATATTTTAATATCAGAGAAGAAGATCTGGAGAAGCACATATGCTTACATTTGCTTAAATTTAACTCCATACAATTTAACGTGCACCATTTAAAAAGGCTATCTAAATCGTTTTGAAGTAAACTCGCTCGTTTATCACAATTATGGGAAATGAATAATTTAACATCATCTGCGTACATTAACAATTTCGAGTAATTTATGGAATTAGGTAAATCGTTGATAAATAAAAGAAAGAGGACCGGTCCAAGGTGACTTCCTTGCGGAACACCCGATGGAACGTTAATCGTTTTGGATAGATACCCTTCAAACAAAACTAGTTGTGATCTATTTTGTAAGTAAGATGATATCCATTTGACTAAGTTTGTGTTGAAACCCATATAATTTAATTTATATATTAGGAGTTCATGGTTAACCCTATCAAAAGCTTTACTAAAATCGGTATAAATTGTATCAGTTTGTTTACGCTGAACAAATCCTTTTATTACTGTTGACGTAAATTCTATAAGATTTGTTGTAGTTGAAAGACCACTACGAAAACCATGCTGATATGGACTCAATATAGATTGAATTTTCTGTGAAATTACTGCAGTAATTAATTTTTCAAACAATTTTGGTATGGCACTTAATTTTGCAATTCCTCTATAATTTGACACATTAGTAAGACTACCAGACTTATGTAAAGGTATAATATAAGATTTTTTCCAAAAAGTAGGAAAGTGACCAAATTTAAGTGAATAATTAAACAATATAGTTAACGGAAGTGCTAATGTTTCTGAACAATATTTAAGAATTATATTAGGTATGCCATCCGGTCCTGGACATTTAATCGATTTTAAACTACGCAGACTATTGGATACATCATGACGTTGTAGAAAAGGCATACAAATTTGATCAGCCTGTGATAACTTATAAGGATACGAGTCTTTAATTTGGCAATATGTACTGGAATAGGTTGTGGCAAAAAAATCTGCGAAACATTCAGCAATATCTGTGCCTGTGACAAATTCTTTATTGTTATATTTCAATACTGAGGGCTTTGAGGAAACTTTTCGTTTTAGATTAACAAAATCATAAAAAGATTTAGGATTGGATTTAACATTATTTTTAATCTTGTCTAGGTAAAGATTATACAATCTACGAGACTCTAAAGTATATTTAGATCTAGCAACAGAGTAATTAGTGTAGTCTATTGTTAAGCCTGATTTTATATATTTACGAAAAAGCTTATTTTTAGAATTTTTTAAACTTGATAACTCAGGGGTTATCCATGGATGTTTATTTGAATTTCTAACTCTAGTGGTTGGAACACATTCCAGTTTAAATCTATTTAAAATATCATAAAATTTATCAATTACATATTCTAAATCTGTATGGCTGTTACACAGGCACACAGAAGCCCAATTTATGGAGGAAATGAGGGTATTAAGTTTTCGAAAATTAGTTTTTTTGTAATTAAGGACTGTTTTAAATGAGTCGGACTGACTTTCTTCAATTACATAACTGTGAGTCATGGAGATATATAAAGTTGGGTGGTATATATCTTCAGGAGTGCATATTGGAGGAATTCTGAATATATCAAAATGCTGTGTTATATTTACAAACGCCAAATCAAGAATTTTTCCGTGGGAATTTTTTACACTGTTTATTTGATAAAGATTTAAGTCACACAAACTATTTACAACATCAAATGTATACTGGGTACTGTTCATTTCAGATTGCAAAGGAATCAAAGCTTCAGAATCTGGCATTGGAAGCCTATTTTCCCCTATTTCGGTATTTCGGTGGTTTAAGAGACAATATTCACCGGAATTGTTTCAAATTTCGTATTTGAAGTTCGTAATGGATACTACAGCCTAAGACAGAAAATTGTATGCACAGGTCCATGTCTTCGTATAGCCCCCATATAACGGTACCTCCCGATATTCGGTATTTTTATAATTTTGACGACATTATTCCCCGGAATTGTTTCAAATTTGGTATTTGAATTTCGTAATGGATACTACAACCTAGGGCGAAAAATTTTGTATGCAAGTCCACGTCTTCGTATAGCTCCCATATGACGGTACCTCCCGATATTCGGTATTTTCATGATTTTAGCTTCATTATTCACCGGAATCGTTTCAAATTTCGTATTTGAAGTTCGTAATGGATAATACAGCCTATGATAGAAAATTGTCTGTACAGGTCCACGCCTTCGTATAGCCCCATATGATGGTATCTCCTGATACTCGGTATATTGATGATTTTTGCTACATTATACACCGATTTTTTTTAAGTTTCGCATTTGAATATTGTAATAGTTCTGACAAAAGTTGCCTATGCAGCGGTTACATTCGTTATTTTTAAGATTTTAACAGAATTTTTAACGAATTATATTTTTCTGAAAATTGCAAAATTCGTTCCAAATAGTGGAGGGTATTCAAGCTTTACAGCTTTTTTATTTGTTTTTCAAAGCCCCCTGTTAATCTTAACCTAACATTTAAACCAATAATATTTAAACTTATTTTCAGGGAGATTTTCTATGAAGTTAGTAGTTCAGAATAGAGGTAGATATCCTCACTGTATGAAAAAGCTGCCGAAACTGGTCCATTCTTTTTGGTAAAATCTCTATAAAACATAACCTTAAAATTTTCGTATACAACATAACCTCAAAAATTCAAATATTTGAAAATGTAGCTCAGTTTTTTATGGTCTCCCGTCAATTTTTGCCTAATTTGACAAAACAATTAACATTATTGTAATTTTTTTCAATAAACACAACCTACAATTTAAACCAAAAATTTTGAGCGATTTTCAAATCGATTTTTTTCAAGCTGATGACAATATCAGTAGATGAAGAACCTTGTAAAAAAAGCTTCAATTTTTGGTATAGCCCCTAAATAATATTAAAGATATTTCGATATGCTTTTGATAAATAGATTGTTCGGAATCTTTGACGCACAAAAGTTATCAACATTTGTCAACTTTTGTATGGCCTCCCAAAAATATAACCTAAAATTAGATCACTCTTCAAAATTTTGATCACATTTTCCATAAGGTTACCCTTCAAAATGGTCGATTAGAATATGAGAAGAAGAAGAATTTTCGTATTAGAACCAGTTTTGTTATACTTTCTATATATTATGGAAACAGTTATAACTAATTTTTGTCCAACTTGTCGTACTGAATTCTTTATGGGTAGCGGATATTGTGATTAAAAAATGATTATTTTTGTATCTGCAGTTTTTGTTATAGATCCCAAGTAACATAACCTTACTTTTTAAATAACTATTTTCACTATACATTTTTTTAAATTGGCGGAGCCAAGAATTTTTAACACAAATCCTTTTTTTCCTATAATTCCTGTTTTTTACCTGTTTTCAACTTTTTATTTGTTTGTATCAAACAAATCAAAAAGTCCAAATGACCCTTAAGTTTGGCAAATCAGCCGGCTTTGTTTACATTTGCTTCATAGAGTTGCCGTGTTTTGTATTAAAAAGCTGTCTTTTCGCCCCTGGAATTATTAACACAAACCTAAGTTGACTCCAAAACTTTTTCAAATAATTTAAATTATAACATTTCGTTATATTTTTCTTCACTTCTCTCATCTTTATTACTATTTCACCTATTTTAATTTAATTTAAATTATGTCTTATTGTTTCTCATTTATAAAAAAAAGAATAAATTTTTTTTAACCAACACACAGAAAGAAAGATTTTTATATATAAAAAAAGGAAAACAAACAATACAAACATATATTTTAGAAGGTAGTGGAAAATGTGATAAGTTGTTGTTTTTTTGTTGTCCGCAAAGAAATATATTTTTTGCTCTGGTTTTAAGAAATAAATTAATAAAGTGCGGGGGATTCGTTACATTCCAGTTGCTGTTGTTGTTACTCTTTACACTCTAAATATGCGTATAACATATATATTGGTGTTATAAGTTTACGATTTTCAAATATTTGATATCTATTGCCTTGGATGATGCAGGATGATCTCCACTTTCGTTTTTTTTTTTTTTTTTTTTGGTTTTGTCTCACTATTACAAAACCCAAAAATATAAAATAAATACTATAACAACTATGCCAGCGGCAGCAGCTTTCACATACATTGATTTACGATTTAAATAGGTGGCATCTTTTTTATATTTCTGCGACATCATGGAAAGATTTTGGGTTTTTGTATCAAGTTCTAGAAGAAAACAGAAAATTAGTCTTTAAATTCAAATTAAAAGAGAACACACAAAAACATACCTGATAAAACTGTACCACGTTGTAGCACGTCATCGATGTTTTGAACCTAAAAAAGAGAAAAATAATTAATTAAGTGTTTAAAAATATTAGTTTGGGAAAAAATTCTCTATGTAAAATTATATTTCATGCAATAAATTTTGTCGATGACTGCATTTCTTTATAGAAACGTTTGTGATTATAATTTTCTGTGTATAAAAGTTGTCGATAACAAGTGTTATCCATAGAAAAGTTGTCGATAACAACTTTTCTCCTTAGAAAAGATGTGGATAACAACTTTTTATCCATAGAAAAGTTGTCGGTAACAACATTTTTGTGTAGAAAAGTTGTCGATAACAACATTTATGTGTAGAAAAGTTGTCGATAACAACATTTCTGTGTAGAAAAGTTGTCGATAACAATTTTCCCCATAGCAAAGTTGTCGATAACAACTGTTTTCCACAGAAAAGTTGTCGATAACAAGTTTTCGGTATAGAAAAGTTGTCGATAACAAGTTTTCTGTATAGAAAAGTTGTCGATAACAAGTTTTCTGTATAGAAAAGTTGTCGATAACAAGTTTTCTGTATAGAAAAGTTGTCGATAACAAGTTTTCTGTATAGAAAAGTTGTCGATAACAAGTTTTCTGTATAGAAAAGTTGTCGATAACAAGTTTTCTGTATAGAAAAGTTGTCGATAACAAGTTTTCTGTATAGAAAAGTTGTCGATAACAAGTTTTCTGTATAGAAAAGTTGTCGATAACAACATTTCTGTATAGAAAAGTTGTCGATAATAACTTTTCTGTATAGAAAAGTTGTCGATAACAACATTTCTGTATAGAAAAGTTGTCGATAACAGCTTTTCTGTATAGAAAAGTTGTCTATAAGTTGTCGATAACAACTTTTCTGTATAGAAAAGTTGTCGATAACAACTTTTCTGTATAGAAAAGTTGTCGATAACAACTTTTCTGTATAGAAAAGTTGTCGATAACAACTTTTCTGTATAGAAAAGTTGTCGATAACAACTTTTCTGTATAGAAAAGTTGTCGATAACAACTTTTCTGTATAGAAAAGTTGTCGATAACAACTTTTCTGTATAGAAAAGTTGTCGATAACAACTTTTCTGTATAGAAAAGTTGTCGATAACAACTTTTCTGTATAGAAAAGTTGTCGATAACAACTTTTCTGTATAGAAACGTTGTCGATAACAACTTTTTTCGATAGAAAATTTGTCGATAACAGATCTTCTGTATAGAAAAGTTGTCGATAACAAATCTTCTGTATAGAAAAGTTGTCGATAACAACTTTTCTGTATAGAAAATTAGTCGATAACAAATTTCCTGTATAAAAAACTTGTCGATAACAACTTTTCTGATGATGTGTCGGGAATATGTTTTCCCAATTGAATAGTCCTTGATGACAGCTATATAGCTTCTCCGTCAACGAACGTCTTTGTCCCCTCTTCATCACTCACCATTATCCTCTGTACATCCTGCAATTGTGTATTAATTGTATTTATATTACGTCTTCGATCGGTCAATTGTTTCTTGGCCTTTTGTATATAAACATCGAATTCGATAAAAGCATACGGTCTTGTCACTGAATTCACTTTACGGCCATAGTTTGCATGAAATTCTTGTGCCAAATCCTCCAGATAATTGAACGCCAAACGCTTCGAATACATTTTATCCACCATTACCAAATAGCAAACATCATTCTCTATTAAGTAGCTAAAACCGATAGGGAACATAAATAAATGGAATATTTAATTAGCCACAGTCACAACTTACTGAAATAAATATGGACCGGTTTCTATGCTACATCTGCTGGGTGAGTGTGAGCCCAATTTGCGAAACAACATTTTGGCTTGATTTTGATATTCCATAATACTGCGTCCAGTCTAGTAGGTGGGTGAATTAGGATTAAAACAGTTTAGGAATTATGAATCACAATTGGGAAAAAATTTGTTCCATTACCTGTTCATCATCCTGCATGGTGCCCACTAGTGGCAGACCATCTATAACTCGAGCTATCATCGTCAGCAAAGCCATTGTTTATGTCCTTTTATTGTCTTTCCTCCTGGCCTAGCTATGTTTTAAAATGTTTCCTCCGTGTGATTGCCTTTGGACTGTGGTAGTCCCGTCCAATTTGTCAATTTGTCTCGTGTAAGTTTCACAATGTTATGACGTTCGATTTGTATTATGAAATTTTTAAAAAAGAAATGTAAATTTCCTTTTACGAAAAAAAGAAACGATCAAAACTTAATTAAGAGCACAAAAATTTCGGGATGAACTTGGGCAACACGTCAGCTACGTCAACAAAAAGTCAAAACTAGATGACAAGAGGACTATTGCAAATTAGTGCAGCAGCAACGTAACGTAAAGCAAATGCAGGGGAGAGAATCATATGTTTGGTGAAGACATAATCAAAAGCGTTCCACTGAGATTTTATTTTGCATTTACGTCACAGAAAAAGGAGAAGTGTTGAATTTTCTTTTAATTTGACAATAAATAGCAATCTGACAATGAAAATACTTTAAATATATCCACGCTTAAGTCAGCTTTAAGAAGTATCCTCAAAGTTATGAATAATATCATTATATTTGTTACTCATCCACCGTTTACACAGGTCAAGGCAATGGAGAATGTCAATATGCAATGTAATCAAAATAAAAATCATTGACTTGGAACCATGGTAGAAGAAGACGCATCGACACAGCTGCTGGGACAATGAACTGTCAAACCAATTTTGTAATTGAAAATGTTGAATGAAGAATCATTTAAATTTGTAACAATTCTTGAAAAATGCATATCATAAAAACCTCCGATTGGCGTCGTATAAGAAAACTTATAAAAATCTATAAATTTTTGAAAAAAAATTAAATTTTAAAAAATTAAATTTTTTGACATATCAATGTTCCCAAGCTTTGATGCATCTACCTGTATTCTTCTACCATGCTAGGAACTCTAAAGGTGGATATACATAAACAGCTTGGCATATTAATGTTAAATTGTAAAGGAAAATAACAGCAGGGTTGCACATGAAACTTTAAATTTTGAGAATCAATTACAAAAATAATTAAATCTATTCATGGTAGAAGAATACGGGTATTAGCATCGACACATCTACTACCAAACCAATTTTGGAATTGAAATTTTTGAATGAAAACGTATGCAGTTTTTTAAAAATTGCTAAAAAATGTATATCATAACATCCTCTGATTGGCATCGTGCAGGAAAACATATACAAATCTACTTATTTTTGAAGAAACATTTAAAAATATTGATGTAGCTACCTGTATTATTCTACCATGGTTAGTATACAAATCATGGTAGAAAAATACAGGTAGAAGCATCAACGCTTGGGAACATTGATATGTCAAAAATTTTGAAATGCTTTTTCAAAAATAAGTAGATTTTGACATGTTTTCTTATACGACACCAACCGGAGATTGTCATGATATTCGTTTTTCAACAATTTTTTCGAATCTGAATAATTTTTTATTCAAAATTTTCAATTTCAAATTTAGTTTGACAGTTCATTGTCCCAGCAGCTGTGTCGATGCGACTACCTGTATTCTTCTACCATGATACAAATGGTCTGTTCCAGAACTGCAGTCGAATCCTACCGTCGTTTCCCCTTATAATTTGACATTACAATGCCTAGCCATGATGCCAAGCTGCTTATGTATCCTCACTTTAAAGGTGGGTATTCATTAACAGCTCGGCTTCGCATCATGGCATAATAATGCCAAATTGTAAAGGAAAGCAACAGCATCCGGATTTATTCAACAAGATTTACTATACAAAAATAGATCTTCTCAGGCGTGGAATCTACACACTAACAAAAATCATCTCTGTGTACAGCATTTGTACGGCATTATTATTAAAATTTTATTTGCTCATGATAATATATTGGAAGATAAATTAATTTCCTATGTATGTTTAGCTAAAAAACATTTAATAGTATAAATACTCTTTTATTCTAATAGGAACTCATTCCAATTGGTGGTAACTGTCATTAAAAGTAACCGGTTGATTTTCAACATCCCTAACGCCGTCACACTTTCCAATCAGTATGGCTCGGTTCTTCGCGTCTCGTAAAAAAATAAAAGTTTAAAAGATTTCACCTGGAAATTTACGAGGAAATTGTCAACAATTTCGACACAAAACCCCTTGAAAACAATAATATAATGTGAATATTATCGGTAGTGCTGAAAAGAAATATAAATAACGAGTGTTTTCGAGCTAAAAAAGCGATAAAAAATCCCGAATAAGTTAAGGTAAAAAAAAGCTACAGAGGATTTTTTCTTTTCATTTGCTTCATCCATCCATCCAAGAGGTGCCAACGTATAACATATATTTGTGAATGTGTTTGTGTATATGTGTGTGCCGAAGAACAACAACGAAAAAAGTTGACAGAAGGAAAGAAAAAAAAAACGCAGAGTAATGACTACTTGTTCAGTCATGCTCAATGGTGTACGTTTTCGTGTCACAGATTGTCATGAAGTTTCTCTCTCTTTTTATTATTAAAACGGTTGTTGTTTGACAAATGCAAAATTACTTCTCTTGTAGTGCCACTGTATATTTTGTGAGCAATTCTGTGATGTATGAAAAGTTTTTTTTTTTTTTTTGAGGGGTAATTTGGGGGGTAGTACAGTGGCTGAGAGAGAGCATAAGCTATGCCGAAAGGCAGAGAGAGAGAAAGAGTGTATGTGTTTGGTTAAAAGATCCACGTAAACTTAAGTTTTGCACAATTGCCACCAGCAGCAGCTACAACAACAACAAAATAAAAACAAGACAATTATCGGAGAGTAGAGTACTTATTATTTATTTCTTGTACTTGTATTGTGTTTCCCCAACAGCTGTGCATGGCTGTTGACAGACTGGATTGACTTGCTGGTTGGGTTGCTTAATTTTTTTTTTCGACAATTAAATGAAAGTAAAATTATTTGGGGCATTTTAAAAGAAGGAAAGAAAAAAAAACAGACGTTTTTAAAAGAAAACAAAGGTAAAAGAGAATTACGTTGTTGCTGCCATTGTTTGTTTAGTATTTAATTTTTTTTTTTGGGTACTTGTGACGTTGATAGAATCGAAAAAGAACAACAACAACAACCATCCATTATTACAACAAGGCAAGCCAAACGAACGACTTTTTTTTTTCTTTTTGAACAAGGGTGCATTCAACTTTTGAGCTAATTTTGAGTAATCCGGTTTCTGCAGACCAACAAAAATCAATAAATTGTTCATATATTTCTTGTTTTTTTTACATAATCACATTGTCCATTTTGTGTGTACGTATGTATGTATGTATGTGGTTTAATGTTTTTTGTATATATTTAATAATATATATTGCTTTTCTTAATATCTCAGGTGCTTTTTTGTTCATTGAAGAGCTCTTTGAGTATTGGCTTGGGAAATTAGAATACAAAAAACAAAAAAATGTCTTGGGTCCATCATCAAAATCAACATCATCCAACTCATCAAACATCAAATCATCAAAAATCCACAACAACACCATTATTGTCATCCACATCCACATCATCATCATCAAAACAACAAACATTTAATATTAATGTCAGCTCCTCCAACAACCCTTCTGTTATACAGCAGAAGCAGGTGTCGGCGGCGACAGCGGCACCACCACCATTAAGATCTGGTTCCCTGGCACAACAACCATCATCGTCATCATTACCATCATCAGTGGCATTGAGAACCACACAATCCTCTAACTTGTCCTCGGCGCTGGCAAATAATTCAACATTATTGATGACGTCACAACAGCACCAGCCACAATATTCCTCCCAAAAATCGACAAATTTGTTGACAAATAGCTTAGGCACAAGAATGCGTTTAAACAATGCTGCTGGTCCACCTCCCTACCAACAACAACAACAACAGCAACAACATGTTCATGCACCAACATCGCAAGCCAACATGGGCCACCACCATGCCACCAACAATAATAATAATCCCATGCCGCTTAATCAAGGGGCGCCTTATCAGAATCAACAGGTAAATGGGGAGTTATCTTCATTTTCCATCACTTTTCGTTTTTTTTTTTTTTTTTTTTTTTTGAAACTGGTTTGGCATGTTTTTTATTTTTGTTACAATTTTCTAATTTTCACATTTCCATAATTTTCCATTTTTTTTTATAAATGTCACTCCTTGGTTTGCATTTTTGGGATTTTATGTTTGGCACTTTTTTTTTTTGTAACAAAAAATTAATTTCAAAATTTTTCGATTTTATTAATATTTCAGAAATTTGTTTTTTTTTTTCAGAAGGTCATTATTAATTTTTAACAGAATTTATATCTGCTACTTTTGTTTTGAGATAAAATGAAAAGTAATTTTGAAAATTTTAAAGAAAGGAAGTTCTCAAAAAGGATACCTTTCGCCTCATTGAGTCCTTGGGGAATTTCTAATTTTTTATTGCAAATAAGAGGACAGATTTTCCCGATTTCGACCTTGGTATTCTTTGTTTTAGACCAATTTTTGGTCTTTTTTTATCTCCAAACATAAGTAGCAGACATCTGTATTTTCTCCACCCCCCCCAACTCTTTATTTTAAAAATTGAAATTAATTTATATCTTTTTTCCTATCAGAACTCTTGGCAAAATCTCCAAACGGCAACAACACAAAATTATTTGTCTGCAACGAAAATGATACCCCAACAAGCCACACAACCACCCATGCCACCGGCGATGGCGGGGGCATCAGGAAATACGACCAATGCCAAGAATTGGCAACATAACTATCAAAATTCCAATGTTATGTATCAGCAGCAGCAGCAGCAACAACAACAACAACAGCCGCCACAACAGTTACAACAACAATGGCCACAACAGCAGCAGCAGCAGCAACAAAATCCAGGAAATGCTGCTGCAGCAACCTATGATAATTTATTCAATCATGTCGTACCACAGGCGGCTCAGCAACAACAAGTCAGCAATGCCGCTTATCAGCAACAACAACAACAGCCTACACCAGCGGCTGCAGCTTCATATTTTCAACAGACGACTGCAGGATCAGTAGGGCCAAGCGCAAATGCTGTTAACTTCTTTGACAATGCCAATAACAATCAATCCAACACCGGTGGTGGTGGAGGTGGGGGTGCGGATGGTTGGGGTGACTGGGATTGGAATGATAATTCCACCATAGATGCCAATGGCTCGCAGAACATAAATGAGTCAAGTCAGCAGCAGCAGCAGCCTCCAACGCTGGCTGCAGCCCACCCACCACCAGCTTCTTCTGCTTCTACGGTGGCCAATGATCTTCAACACCATCCACCTCCTCCTCCTTCTGCTGCTGCGCAAATTCAGGCCAACAATTCCAACATTATTGCTGATAGCTTCAGTCAGCCACAAAATAATGATTCCTGGAATTGGAATGCCTCCAACGATAATGAGCAACATATTCCAACAAATGAGCCCAAATTGGAGCAGCAACAGCAGCAGCAGCATAACGACAATTGGAATTGGAACTCCTCCAATGATATGGAGCAGCCAGCAACGAACGATCATTCGAACGACAATTGGAATTGGCAAACGAACGAAAATCAACAACAACTAACAACAAACGCAGCATCCCAACAACACCAGCAGCCATCCTTGGAAAAACCGCCCACAAAACCGACGGAAATCCAAGCTCCAGTTTTTGTCAATCAAAAACCGGAAAATCCAATTCCCATTGTGCAAATGGCCACCTCAACGGCTGTGAATTCTGAGAACTATAACTACAATAGCCCGGCAAGTCAAGCCATGGCCCCATCCACCAATAACATTCCAAACACAGTATTTGTATCGCAAGCCAAGCCGGTGACCTTGCCTTCCCGGCAATATGCCTCACCGCCCATGGGCAATACACCGGTCAGTGAAAATCCACCGGAGACGGCACTGATGCCACCCCAGGCATTTCAAAATACGGTGGAAGAACCACCCGCAACCATCAGTAGGCCAGCAAATGTGCAAACCCCCAGTTTACCAGGGCCACCCCCAACTTTGGCAGCCCCGCCAGGTATGCCACCCGCTGTACCACCAGCCTCTGCCACCTCGGCTGCAGCTGGAAATCCCTTTAAACGCAGCGGTTTGGCCCAACATCATCGAGCCAGCGGCCTAATGGCCACCACAGCTCCCCCAGCGGTTGTACCACCCGCCCCCATGGCTATGGCACCACCATCGGCCTTTAATATGCCAGCACCACCACCGCCAGCTGATTTTGCCAACCCATCAGCTGCTGCCATTACTCTTATGGAACCCGAAAACAATGAGATGCCATTGCAAGAAAATCAAGAAATTCTAACACCACCCGTTGGTTCCATAACTCTACCAAATGCTGGGCCCCAAAACTCCAGCACCACCTCCTCCAACCAAACGGCGCCTCCAAATGATGAACGTAATCAATATTTACAAACCAGTCATTTGTCGGAAAATTCCGAGGAACAATCGGGCGAGGCTGATGGTGGTCTTTTGCCACCGCCAGGCTTGTCCCGTTTGGTGTTAGGCGAACCCGAATTGGAGGCTTCACAACGCATGGTTATGGGTACAGAGGCTCACACAGCAACTGTGGCAGCCCCAATTAGTGATGTTATGCATTTGGAGGAGCGTCATGCCGATGGTGAGGATACAGCCTCAGAAAATGCAGCCCCAAATCCAGATCCTTCATCCAGCAATTCCACCACAGATCGTAATTTGTATATGGTGCCCGGCGAGAGCAATGTGGCCAATCAACAACAGTTGCAAACACCACAACAACAACAACCCCAACGTGTGGTCACCGGGGTGGAATTACAGGAACAGCGAGAAATCGAAATGGACGGAGAAAATTTGGAGGATCAGCAACAACCCCAACATCAAGTTCTATCCCCCGAGGCCCGCAATGAGCCACCCGTGGAGGGAGCTGATGAAAGCATTGATAATGGCCTGACAGCTGGGCCAAATAATCCCGTACCCGAACCCATGGAAATTCATGCTCCTCCTTCCTCAAAACCAAAAGATAATCACCCTATCTCTTCGCCCAATGACGAGGATGACAGTGACGAACGTCTGCTAAATGATCGGGCTAGCTCCTCTAAATCCCGTTCCAAATATGAAACTGAACGGCATGGAGCCTCATCATCATCTCGACGTCGTCGTGACAAACGTTCCATGCAACGCTATGACAGTGAGGAGGAGTATCTTAACTCTGAGGATGGTGGGGAATATTCCAGTGATCGCGAAGAACGTGAACGTCGTGAGCGGAACAGTGAACAACAGCGCAGACGTAATTATCGGGAGGGTAGTGTAAGAAGCGACCGTGGTGGGGATGAGGAGGATAACAAGCGTAGTCGACGCCAGCCGGGGGCCAGGGATAAACGCGACAAATATTATTACGATGAGGAAAGGTCAAGGGGTGTTAAGTCGGAGAACAGGCGTCAACGTCAGCGTGGAGGCGGAGGTTATGAAAATGACTCCCGCTACGAAACCGAGGAGTCCACAAGGTTCGATGCCCGCAAGGAATCATCCAGGCGTAGTATGCGTCATCCCGACAGCGAACGAAGAGGTGAACGCCGTCATCAGGGCAGCGATCAGGGTGGTGACTATGACGACTATCAGCGTCGTGGAGGTTATCGTTCTTCGAAACGCTCCGGAGGCGATAATTACGAATCAGATCGTCGTGAGCGAAGACGTGATGACTATGACACCGTGGAGCGGCGACGACGCAGTGATAAACATCGTGATCCACGTTATCGCGTAGATGATCCCCGCTATGATCCACGGGAATATGAAGAGTATCGCAAGCACAGCTCACGCAATGCTCGCGAAAGTGATTTGGAAAAGGAGCAGGGTGGTCCCGGCTCCAGACGTATGTTGCACGATCCCCGGCATGCCGCAGCTGCCATGTATGGTGGTTATCCCTCGGCCGGGGGATATTATGATCCATATACGGCATATTATTATCAACAAATGGCTCGGACCAATCCCCAGGCCTATGCCGAGTGGTATAAGAAATATTATGGACAACATGCTGGTGCCGGCACAGGGGCGGTAGCAGCAGGTGGCGTGGCTGGCGTAATGCCAGCCATGCCGGGAGCTGGTGAGACCGCCGCGGCCACAGGAAACGATGGACGTGAGTCGGTGCACTCGGGACGTAGTTCGGCCCACAATGACATGGTGAAGGATAGGTAAGTTAGACATTTCGAAAAAATCCATTTAAATGCTAATGGAAATGAATTTTTTGAATATAAGTTGGAAGTCCAAGGATGCTATGGGAATGTTGGGTAGGATGTCTATGAAAAGGAAAGGAGGGATACTTTGAAGGATTTTCGTTTTGCAATGAAAGGCAGAAGAGACCCTGAGAAAGTAGTGAAATTAATTCATTTCATTTTCAAAAGCTCCCTGGAGAAGTGGGGGAAATAATTTCATTTTCCATGGCCGGGAAGCCATGAGCTTCTGAGCGAGAAGACAAAGAGTATTTGGGCCAAAATTGAAAGAAAGGATTTCACAGAAATTTTGTGAACGTTACGTTTTGGCAGAGATGAGTCTTGATTTTTGTTTTTCTTTTGGAGGCATTTTACTCTGGAACAATTTAGAGCTCAAGAGCTCTTGAAGAAAATGGATAGTAATTTCCATTTTTTTAAGGGGAAATAAATTTCAGGGATCCAGATGAAATTTTGCACAAATAATTTTTTTGGCCCAAGGACAAACCCTATTGAAATTGGAGATAATCTGTAAAAATTTAGATATAGCTCCCATATAAATCTTCGTCCGATTTGCCTTTTATTGTGCACCAAACGTGTAATATCAGCCCGAATAGTATGGAATTTTGCACATACAATAAGATTAGGCCTAAAAATAAGTGTGCCAAATTTGATCGAAATCGGTTCAGATACAGCTATAGCTCCCATATATATTGTTCATCCGATTTGTTATTTTTGTCCTCCGCAGCCGTAATATATACTCTGTAACAACAATATTTGGCTAAATATATCAAATGCAGCTCAGAAATACTTTTGCTAAATTTTATCGAGATCGGTGCAGATTTGGATATAGCTCCCATATATACTTCGTCCGATTTACCTTTTATTGTGCACCAAACGTCTACTATTAACCCAAATGGGATGGAATTTGGCACATACGACGGAATTGAGTCTACAAGCTAGAATGACAAATTTGTTGAAGATCGGTTCAGATATAGCTATAGCTCCCATATATATTGTTCATCCGATTTGTTATTTTTGTCCTCCGCAGCCGTAATATACACTCTGTAACAAAAATATTTGGCTAAATATATGAAATACAGCTCAGAAATACCTTTGCTAAATTTTATCGGGATCGGTGCAGATTTGGATATAGCTCCCATATATAACTTCGTCCGATTTACCTTTTATTGTGCACCAAACGTCTACTATTTGCCCAAATGAGATGGAATTTGGCACATACGACCGAATTGAGTATAGGAACTAGTATGCCTAATTTGGTGAAGATCGGTTTAGATATAGCTATAGCTCCCATATATATTGTTCATCCGATTTGTTATATTTGTTACCCACAGCCGTAATATGGACTCCGTAACAATGATATTCAGGGAAATATATGAAATACAGCTCAGAAATATCTTTGCCAAATTATATCGAGATCGGTTCAGATTTGAATATAGCTCCCATATATAACATCGTCCGATTTACCTTTTATTGTGCACCAAACGTCTACTATTTGCCCAAATGGGATGGAATTTGGCACATACGACCGAATTGAATCTAGAAGCTAGTATGTCAAATTTGGTGAAGATCGGTTTAGATATAACTATAGCTCCCATATATATTGTAGATCCGATTTGTTATTTTTGTCCTCCGCAGCCGTAATATACACTCTGTAACAACAATATTTGGCTAAATATATCAAATGCGGCTCAGAAATACCTTTGCTAAATTTTATCGTGATCGGTGCAGATTTGGATATAGTGCCCTTATATAACTTCGTCCGATTTACCTTTTATTGTGCACCAAACGTCTAATATTTGCCCAAATGGGATGGAATTTGGCACATACGACCGAATTGAGTATAGAAGCTAGTATGCCAATTTTGGTGAAGATCGGTTCAGATATAGCCATAGCTCCCATATATATTGTTCATCCGATTTGTTATATTTGTTACCCACAGCCGTAATATGGACTCCGTAACAACGATATTCAGGGAAATATATGAAATACAGCTCAAAAAAAATCTGGCAACGCTATGCCTGAATAAACGTGGTTTTTGTTCATCGCAGCTTTTCATTCTTCAAATGAATAGAATTTATTAATAAATCGGACGCATTATACACATTCTTCGGAAATTGCAGTTTGTTGCATGACTTGTTGTTAAAATTAAATTTAAAATACCGCTTTATACACAATATTGCATAATTGTTATTTTGCTGCTAAATTGTTGCTGTGCTGTTGGTTGCTGATTTTGTTGCTGCATTTTATTGTTGCTCTTGTTTGCCTTGTTTTTGGATGCTTCTTCTGTTTTTTTCTCCAAGTAACCAAAAATGCCTAGTGCGGAGAAATGTGGTATTTGCAACAATTCTATAACAAAATCCCAAGGAAGCATTATGTGTAAAATGTGTAATAAATGGATACATGCCGCCTGTGCTAATATCAATGAAAAAGATTTAGCTGCTTTAAAATCTGTCAAATCCAGCATTTTTACTTGTGTCTCATGTGAGAACTGTCAACGAACCAATCCCAATAGGAATAGCATATCGGACGAGTTTCGGAGTCTTAATGCTAAGTTAGATGGCATAATAATGAGTAACCAGACTGAAAAGAACTCCATTAAAGCAGCTCTGGATGAAATTAAAAATGAGATGAGATCTTATTTAACTGAACTTAAATCCGATATTAATAGCTGCAATGAAAAAGTGAGCAACCTAAAATCTGCTACAGATTCAAAAATATCAGATCTCCAGGCTGAAGTGAATGTGTTACATCGCAGACTGAATAGAGCTGACTTTTTAATCAGCGGCTTGCCTGCTGGGTTAACAGACTTGGTTGCCCCGGTAATGGCGTTAAGCTCATTTTTTAATGTGTCGCTTTCTACTCATGATATCAATTATATTGGCTACATAAGCAACGGAAAACAGATCCTAGTTAAGCTGAATAATGTTAATGCCCGCGATTTAATCATGAAGGAGTATTTCAGAACCAGGACTCTTAAAGTGTCGGACATAATTAAAGGTGAAGGTGGTGACCTGTCAAATAGAGTTTACCTAAACGACCATTACACTCCTGCTGCGGCATATCTAAATTCGCTCTGTATAAGGCTTCGCCGACAAGCAGTTATAACCAAATTTAAGGTTCTAAATTCAGACATACTGAAAGCCAAACTGATACTCACAGATGGCACCGAAATTTTTGCAGATGCTAAGAAATGTTCTTCTTTGTTAAATAACTCTGAACAAGTTCAAAATTAGTGTAATACAACTTCAGAAATTGACTGTTCTACTTAATCTTTATTAATGAATTGAAAATTGAACTCATATTAAAAGTGAAGAGCTGCATGAATGTTATTGCAATATTGTTCTTCTTTATGGAAATATTATTGTATTTTAAAAAATTTGTATTAAATATCTTTTTTTGGCTCCCCATTTTCAATTTTTGGCTCTGTCGTAATGTCTTTTAGTGAAAATCTAGGTCCAATAATTAACGATAACTCGTACATTAAATCCGTGTTGTGTCCGTATAGTGATAACTTAAAAGTGGCTCATCTAAATTGCAGGAGCATCAAGCCTAAAAACAAACTTGATGAACTGAGACTTATTTTAAAGGGCAATGTGTTCCATATTTTTGCTGTGACAGAAACGTGGCTCATGAATGAAATTTGCAATAAAGCCGTTTCTTTACCTGGATATAGACTTTGCCGGAATGATCGCCAGGCTCCAGGTAGAGGAGGTGGTGTAGGTTTATTTATTGTTAATGGTCTCCCCTACAAAACGGTGTTGAAAACCTCTTTTCCTGGATGTGAATCGCTTTTCGTTAAGTTGTGCTTTGATAATATTGAAATCTTGTTTGGCGTGGTTTATTTACCAACTGGTAATTTATATGATTTTGAGTGTCATCATATGGATTTATTTTCGGAGCACCAAAATATAGTTATTTTTGGTGATTTTAATAATAACCTATTTGATGATACTAAGTCTAGTAATTTTCGCTCACTGTGCATAAGATATAATTTGTCAATTGTTCACAATTCTAAGCCCACACATTTTGATTTAAGAACAAGAACAACTTCATTAATAGATTTCATGTTGGTAAGTGATGCTTCATTTGTTAACTTTAGTGATCAAGTTCAGTGTCCGTCTGTCTCTGACCATGCCCTACTTTTCGCGTCTCTTTCCTTAAGTTATTATAAGCCGCTTGAATTCCTGGAGTACCGAGATTACAACAACATGGATTGGGATAGATTTCTGTTGATCTTGCGTGCTTTTGACATGAATTTACTGCTAAGTGAACCTGATGTAAACATCAAATGCTCTCAAATTAGTTCTCTAATTGGTAGCTTATTTGCCTGTGTACCTGTTGTTAGGAAAAGGGTACAACTTCGCACAGAAACATGGATTAAGGCTAGCGATGTCACATTTGCTAGATCCGTTAGAGATTTAGCTTTTAATGCATTTCAATTAGACCGTTGTCAGGAGAATTGGGCTGTTTACTGTAAATATAGAAACAGGGCAAGGACCGTTATTAGAAGGGCAAAGAGGAAACATTTTGTAGCAATGTTTGGCAGGTTAGATACATCTGGCGTTTGGAAATTGTTGCGTAATGCAGGTTATGTAAATCAAAATCATTCTGTTTTTGATATTGATGTGGATGACATAAATTGTTCCTTTATTAACACTGACCATAGACCTGCAGGGCAAGTGGACTTTATGCAGGATGTTGATTCTAACACGTTATTTTCTTTTCGATACGTTGAGGAGGCTGAAATTTTTGAAGCATTGCACAAAATTCACTCTAAATCAGTAGGGGTGGATATGATACCCATACGATTTATTAAGTTAATTTACCCGTACGTCATGGATATATTTTTACACTTCGTGAACTATATATTAGTAAGCTCAACTTTTCCACTTGCATGGAAAAAAGCTCGTGTTGTCCCCATCCCCAAATCGAATAATGTTAGTTGCCCAGATGACCTTCGC